TAAAACAACTTGAGACAACTGTTGTTGTGATTTGGTGCTATATAACTAAAACTGAATTATTTGAAACAGAGGTTTAAGCTAGGCTGCACCTGTGTTTCATGCTCCATTTGGTACCTGCAAAGCAAACATCCTACTTTAAAAAGAATTTAAACTGTGCTGCAAATATTAAGCAATTTTATTGGGTAAATACTCCCATAAATTTCTGATCATGCTGTACGTGCACAATCTCTGAAGGCTAAGCTCTGAGTGGTTTTTGTGGATGTGGACCACACTGGGACAAGATGTCTGGCCATAAAGGTAACTCTGATCTCTGGAAAAGCTGTCCAAAAGTAATGACTTAAAAATAGCTCCATTTTGACTTTAGTATAAAAATCTTAACATAGTTTTAGATTGTGCTCTAAAACAGTAAATCAGAGATTTACTGTAAGGAGTTTGTAATCCAGTTCTGTGTGATGCAATATTTTATCTTCATTTAATTCCCAACAACAGGTCAAAGTGTGCTCAATCTATCATCTTGTATGATGACAGATCTACGCTTCCTGTGCGCAACCCTGGTGCTTATAGTCTGTGATAAGATCACTGTGGTGTATTGCTGCAGATGGCAGTAATGGGCCTTGTATGTCTTCCACTTCCCATTAGCTTCAACCTGTAGAAAGCCAAAGTAATAGTATATGCGCATATAGTACTTCCTTTCTCTCAATTTCCGTCTTCATCATCTTCAAACACTGTACTGGACTACAAAGTGTGTCTGCTAGCACAGGGGCATTATGCATATTTAATATCAGCCTCTCAGATGTCCTGGTCAACTAATGGGGCACACACAGCAGGAGTGTACCTCACTTATAACTTCAGAGACCTCCAATAGACATGCAGAGCACAAAGTGTGTGACATGGCACAACACTGGACTGTGAAAAGTGTTCTATAACTATATATTTAAGTTACAGCAAGCGCATAAAATTGATACAATTTGTCTTAAACGCTAAAACTGTTTCCCTCGAGTTTTGACAGTTACATGATAAAATGCTTCAACTTACTCAAGTTTATCAAAATGAACTTTACATAAAGACTATAACTATAAATAAACCCTGCGTGCTGTTTCTAGGCTCTTTGGACTGGTGACAAAGAAGGCAGCAAAAGATGGCATACGTGATGAAAAATAGAATACATTTATGGACGCATGCAAATTTTTACCAATTACTTTGTTAAAAAAAAAAAAGCACTATTGCTATTTGGTTAATATTTCCCATGACACGTAAAGCAGAATTTAAGAGCTACAATTCACAATTAATTTACATGATATTTTTAAATGGCACAAAGTGCAAGAGAAACGGCTCTTAGTCAGTATTCTAACAATAATCTGTAAAACAGTTTTGTAATTTTAGAGGAGAAGATTATTGTTCTACAAAGGCCACAAGTAATGGGATGCCAACACTTGCCATTTAAGGCTCAGACTCTACCTGTGGCCTAGATTTCTGGCCATAATAGGACATGGATCTGAACAATAGATCTCTGTTGGGAGAGGCTGAATAACAGAAATGAATACAAATGCTCAGAATTTGTTTTGCAGAGGGAAAAAAGGAAAAAACAAAAGGTGGGCGGTATGAGGGGGAGTGTTGTTAAATCCAGTGAGCATTTAAGTCAGATTATGCCGCTTCCATAGCGACTAGGTCACCTTTTTCTTGGTCTTTCCCTGCATCCCCCACCCCCCTTCTCATCATCCAAAACAAATCTGACAGAAGCTTTAGTTGTTCCTGCTGGACAATCTAGTTCACAGCATAGCCTCAAATAATTTTATCACAACAAACATCTTACAACAGACCAGAATGTTCAAAAACCTCCTAGCTTGAGGAACAAAGATAATTTGGATGGAGGCAATGATGTCAACCAGGTGGGCAAGAGTTCAATGAATGAGGCAGACTTATTTATTATCCTGGAAGTATTATAAACTGTTTGTTTGTTGTTGTTGTTTTAAAAACTTTTTTGTCATCATATTTGTAGCCTTGATTCTGTCTTGATTGTCAGACTAAAATATGGGTGATGACAAATTGAGCAGAAAATACAGACACGATACAGACTGCACACCAAGCCTTCAGTTCACCAAGTGCTGTGGAGAAACCGGGTACTTTTTTATGTAATGTGACACCAAGTTTGTGCTTTTTTAAAATTCTAATAATAACCAAAGTGTTGGTTCTCCAACAGCCTCAACAGACCTTAAGAGAGACCCAAACATTAAAAAGCCGCGTGAAATGCTCACTTCAGAGAGCTTACATAACATATCTATTTGACCACGTTGCATTACCTGTTATCACAACCGTAATCAGCCTGAGTAGGCAGAATTTTTCCAGAGCCATATGCATCAAATAACAAAATGTCAGAAAAGACATAACCCCTATGAGTATCTGAGTGTGGCTGTCTATTTATTAGTTTCATATACAACCATTTCAAAGGCCGTGATTTGAAACACTTACCCGGGGAGGCTAAAGCATCTTTATCCGAAGACGAGCTGTGCCTGTACCGCCTGCTTCGCTTTTCTTTTACACCTCTCGGAGACGACGAGCTTCCTGCTAAGCACGGTAACAGCAGCGCCTCTTCGCCGGAGCCCTCTGTCTCTAGTTCGGTCAACACGCTTTCACAAGAGTCCGAAATACGTATGGCACCACCGGGGTTCGCCCCAGTTGTCAGACCTATCCGGTTCCTGTCAAATAACACCTTTGGAGGGTCTATGGAGTGAAAGTTAGACTCCAGCACTGGCACCGCTCTTTCCCCCGTGTCCAGCACTGGCTCGCCGGTCTCTGTCTCTGTCAGGTCGCATTCTGACATCATTCTGACTCAGGCCCTAATACATACAGTTAAATATATATCGTATTGACTCAACTTCGTTTCGAGCTGTCAGCTTTTCATTGTAAGAACACGGCATGTATCCAAATCAAACAGCTACTGCTTTCACTCAACGATATGTCCACATAATCCATGGAGACCGTCTCCTCTGCTTCCTAGTTAGCTAGATGCGCATGCGCCACACAAAACGACGCTGCTGGCTATGAGTTGCCTTCAAGTACAGCTTGGAAAAGCCGAAGAAATTCAAAGACGTGAGCGAGCCCCCGTGTTTCAAATTCCCGGTTGACAAGTACACTCGAGAGCTTTACATCATTACTTCTGTTATTACCGTGTGACTAACGTAGTTGTCAATTTGCAAAGTCAGAAACAGAAACAAAAAAAATACAAATTAGGCTGTAGAACATGTCGGTCTATAAACACGTACCTTCCTACGCTATTTATTAGAGATTAGCTATGTTAAGTAGACCTGCTATCAAGATATCCTTTTCTGACCTGGCATTTATTTATTTATTTATTTGCAAAACAAATATATTCATAGTTTTGTCCTTTCTGTCTTCTTCTCCGGTGCTTGAAGAATTTCAAATTCATGAACTGAGTTAGAATTATTGGCACATGATAGGGCTACGTTAGTATTTCTTTTGTTTTATTAAAATGCATTTTCTAAGCTATTAATACAAAAATACTCTGGTGGTTACTGTAGTGGTTACTGTGCAGGCTTTTCAACTGACTCGACGCAGTCCAGCAGTTTTATTCATGGCCACTAGATGTCAACAATATTACATAAATGAAAATGGTTGCAACGCATCGCCTCACAAGCAAAAATTGTCTAGTCTTTATACATTTTTTAAAAGTTACTGTAAAATACTTAAATACTATTTTCAAGTCGTCATCAAGTGTCATTGTTTGAAGTGTGGCAAGCATAGTTACTGGTTTAGAATGCCTCTGAAGTTAATATTGGATCCACACATGGGCCTTTCCCGCTGCCACCTCATGGTAAGATAATGACATTTTTTATTTAGCTCAATTTTCCAGTTTCGACCCAAGGTGAATTAATGCAAATTGAATAACCTCTGCATTAACTTAGCAAGGCTTAATATGGTAATTTTTCATCCCTCTGTTTTACTTTCCCCTCTCTCTCTTCCTGTCTCGCCTATAAATTCAAGCTCCCTCTCTTTTCTTTCAGTTCTGTCAGTGCCCCTCAATCACCCAGTGGTCTGCATAGCACCCACTCATCCCTCTGCCCCCCTTCCACCTATAATTCTGCCCTTCCACCACCACCCGTCTCTCTAATAAGGGAGTGTAGCTGAAACACTTGCAAATGAACAGTCAGCCAGCTGGTAACACAGCAGTCATGTGATCTATCAAGGTAGGGGGTTAGAGGGTGAAGGAGACATGGAAGGTGAGAGAGGCTTGGTGTGCTTGGGATAGAATATGGATCTGGAAAAAGGAGAAGGAGATGGACAGTTTTAAAGGCACACTGAAGGCTAGACAGGTATATCTCTGCTTACTCTTTGCTAGATGTCATAATAAACCCTCTCTCCCTTTGTCCATCTCCTCTCTCGATACTATTTCTTTTTCAGCGTCTTCACCCTTTATTTCAATATCCATCTCACCTTCAAGAGCAAACACCTGAAATGTCACTGGAGTGACACATGACACTCAACAGGAAAACGCATCAACCACATCTCTGTTTTGTTTTGTTTTTTCATATGCGTGCCAGTGTGTGTTTGAAAAAAAGAGAGCAAGAGCGTGTGCATCGAAACTGTGCACTTCACCCACCACTGGGTGACAAGCTCCTGCAGCAGTGAAGGCACACTGCAGACACACTGCTTGCACGTGCACGTGTGTGTGTGTGTTTGACAGAGAGAGCCCCATGTTTGCCTCACTGTAGCACCCATTCCAGTAGATTCTGCTGGCAGAAGATCTAGTTTACCCTGCCAACAGCAACCACTCTTATCCATTCCTGCTCCTTTCCCCTGGCGGCTTGATGGGGGAGAGAGGGAGAACCCTCTAGCCCAACTAATTTTTTACATGCATCTGTATTGTTGGTGATTAGAGTTTTTATTAGTTTGTGAGGGAACACAATCATGCCGCATGCCCAGAAATCTAAAAGTGTAAGCCCCTGATTGCAAAGTCTTAAAAACTTAGACATCTACCAGAATTTGATGCTGCAACATTCAAAAAATGTATTTATTTGCACTGACTCACACTTTTCTACATCCAAATTAATTTACATTACAAAAGTGAACAGTCACATATACATAGCATTGCCTAGTTCTACCACATTTATAAATATTTTAATTCGTCAAAAGGGAACAAAGAGAGCTCACTCTGTCCTATAAGGTTTACAGTATATTCCGGTCCTTCATTATTATTTATTCACTCCTTTATCTTTTGCCTTATATAAACCGGATCTTTTAAATGTCAGCATTTGTTCATTTTTGCCTCATCCTGGCTTTTGTTGAGGGGATATACTGTGCCACACCGACGTCAGTTACCTGTTACCTGTTAAGAAAGATTTACACAGAGAAAAGGCATTCAGAAATAGCGTGTGGTTGGCCAGTTGTGCGTGTTTGTGTTTTCATATTGAGATGGCAGTATACCTCTCGGTCCAAACATCTTCAGATAGCAGTGTGTACAGTATGGCTTCTCATCATACTGAAACACAACGAGTAACACATATTTATAGCATCATCCTACTCATTCAGTAAACTGCATTCATATTACTTTCCTTGAATACTTAATTGACTCAGTTGTTGTCCTTATATACCTCAGCATGTTGTCCAGGGGTGAGCTGTCTGTTACACTTCTGACACTTCAGACACAGAGGATGGTAGTCTCTCCCTAAGGACCTCTTCTTCTCACCTGCACCAAAGGAAGAGATGGACTAGCTTAATGAGAGGCAGGATCGGATATTTTTATGAATATTTAATTAAAAAGTCAAAAGGATTTTGCATCTCATACAATTTCTGATAACACAATGTCTGGATTTCATGTGTCTGGTTCAGAAGTTACAGACTATTAGCCTCATCAGTGCAAGTAGGCCAGAGACTGTGATGTTGAACTAAAAGTAGGGCAGGTCACATCAGAGAATTTGAACTTAGCTGGTGCATGAACAGGCGAGAAAAACTAACAGCAAAAATAACAACCAAAGAGGAATCTAACTGGTGGTTTGAGTCATTTTGTGGATCTAATGGCTAGGCCTGAATGTGGAAAAGGACTTGTTTAAAAGAGAGGGGAGGTAGGGAGGAAACCCAAAGAGCAGTGCATGCTCGTTTGGCTAGACCCACATCCTGTTGTTATCATGGATACGAGTGTGTGCATTTGTGTGCATGTGTGGTTCAAATAAAGCCAAAAGCCTTAAAAAGAAAGAGTGAAATGCCTTTTTTGTCCTCTAAAAAGAAAATAGATAACAATTTTGCATTTAAGGAACATATTGATATCATTGCACTTTGTCTAATGTAGATAATAAGACTTTGCAGAAAGAAAACAAAACACAAGGTGAACCTCAATCTTATGTTAACTCCAAAAAATGCCCTTTATTAATTTTATTACACCTGGTTTCACCTGTTCATTATTTGTGCTTTATTTCAGATTTCAAGTTTTATGACAATGCCAAACTGATCTGCCACAGAGATGGTAGACAGACAGATAAAGAGCGTGTAAAGCAAGTGCCAGACAGAAAGAGGAAGACAATTGCATCGAGTTTAAAAATTAAACAGGTCAGACTTACCAAAGTAGACAGGCTTCCCGCAAATTGGACAGTAGCCTACCATGATAGTATCTAATTATTTATCAGTATATGCGTTTATGTGTGCACCTTTTTAGTCCACAGTGTCCTATGAGCGAAATCGCGTGAATACGGGTGTGAACTGAAAAGTGACAGGAAAACCGTTAAACTGTAGACATCTCAGCATCTTGTGCAGTCAAAACCAGGATGTGGTGAGACGTCACAGGAAGAGAGTAAACTTTGAGATTTGAGCAGTAAATGGTGTCATCAGTGGAAAAACTAGAGACAGGTAGTTTGTCTCTTTCATATATATGTGTGTGTGTGTGTGTGTGTGTGTATATAATTTGATCATTTTACATATTTTAAATCACATTATTTTACAGTGAACTTTTCATATCTTCATATAATGTTTTGCGCACTCATCTATAACACTGTAAAGAGAGAAAGAAAGAAGGAACAAAAAACATCTGTCACCAGCTCAAATTCCCAGCTACCTTCTCCCTTTTCGTGCTCTTTTCACCCTCTTTTCTAGATTAAAAACAAGGATTTGAGCTCCTGAACTGAAAAGGGAAACTTGACACTTGTGCCTTTCTTTTCTTCTTTCTTTCTGTCTGTCTTCTTTCTCTCTCTCTCTCTCTCCCTCTGTGTGTGTGTCAAATACTCACACACACCTCCCGCTCACTGACTCACACAGACACCATACACCCATTTACACACACACATGCACTCACCAAAAAGGCCATCCTTCTGCTCAGTGACATCACATAAAGAGGCTGCAGCCAAAGTGCGGAGGGAGAGTCAGGGTGAGGCTGGTCTAGTGGAGGGACAGATGGGGCTGGGCAGCGGAGGCAGTTATCCCCTAGGGATAGGTGATGGAAGCAGACCTCGGGAGGGACAGGGGTGAGGAGAGATGAGCGAGACAAGGTTGGAGACAGTAGCCAACTACAGCTCAGCGGGGACAAAGACGATGAACTGTGATGAACTTTGTTGAGTGCAGAACAAGGCCACTGAAGTCACTGTGGAAGACAGGCAAATGTCTGTGTGGTTCGATTGCTATCACTGTCTGGGCTTATACATGGCTGAAATAGATGTTTAGCAGCATCAAGGACCAAAGACCAGACTCTGCAAGAGCTTCTTCCCCCAAGCAGTCCACTCACTATCACCAAAGGACTGATATACACATACACCTCTGCAAACACCTTACAATACTCACCAAAAGACTCAAAAACAACAAAAACTTCCGCTAATCCACTACAAACTGGACCTGGGAACAATATGCTTATTTTTACACTCAGTCTCATAGTTGCTGAACACATATCTAAATTATATTATATTTGCACATTTTCCATCTTGCACATGTCTTCGCCCTGTCTTGTCTACAATATCATGACAATAACTTCAACCTGGTATTCAATACCTACTGCACAATACACTTTGTGTTGTCTCTGGACTGTCTTTGTTTATAGTTATCATTATAGCATTGTATAGTTACTACTATAGTATTGTATAGTTAGTAATTAGTACCTTTTTATCCCTTAATTTTACCAAAATTTAGCATGTTATTTATTTGTAATTCTTAGTTTTATATCTCTTGGAGATATATCTTTTATATACTTATAAATGCACCTTGAGGGGCTTGGGGTGAAACAGCATTTCGCTACGTTGTATACTGTGTATACTGTGTATACTGTTGTATTGACAATAAAGCTCTTGAATCTTCAATCTTGAACTGAATCAAGGAGTATCCAGGAAACTATGGTGATGGAAGACTTATTCAGATGGTTTAGTTAATTAAGAGTACTTCAGAGCAAAATAACTCCATGTACTTTTTACTTAAGTAAAAGTTAATTAGGAATAATTAAAAGCTAAATGTTTCAGACACGGGGAGCATTATGCCATAAAACTGACTAGTTGTTTCTAATCCTTAAGGGGAATTCCACCAGCATACACATGAAAATCTATTTAAGGTCTTAGGGGGTGCTGCTACATATGAAAAAGTTTAGTGATGCTTTTTGTAGCTCTAGAGTGAGCAACTGAAATGTGACAAATTCTCTCCAGTGATATCTTTAAATTGAAAATTAAAAAGTGCAGGTGCAAAGTCAGAAAAAAGGGTGTTTTGTGCAGCGCACTCCTACTCCCCGTTCAATAATACATACATGTGCAGCTGCTAAAAGGGCCAAATATCACATTCAACTTAACAGTCAACAACTGTTCACTGTTAAGTTGCATTGTAAGATATGTTTGCGGTTGTTCTTCTGCAATAATTTTGACAAAAACACATCTTTTCTACCCTACATTCACAATTTAGATGATAGAAAAATGTTGTGGATTAAAAAAGTCCTATATTTGGAATATAATGCAAGAGTAAATAGTATATAGACACATGCATTCATATGTATTTTCAATACATAGTCAATGTTTTACAGTAAGTGTTTCTTTTTCAGCCTTTAGACGTGCCGAAAACATCTGCAAATCATTACTGCAGCTGATGAACTTCTGAAAACCATGGAATATATGTATTTCATCATTTGCATATTTACCGGCATCCCTCTCCTGTGTGTCATGCTTTGCAGAGGGATGGAATACCAAGTAGGTATTTCATCTGACCAGCTTTCCCTACAGGATAACCTATCATGTCTCTCCATCAGCATTCATTGTGTGTGGACAGTGCTTGGAGAGCTACATCCTGAATTAGAGGCCTGTATGCATGCAGTGTTTTTTGATGCAAATGATGATGTGCTTTTAATAGAGAGCAGATTTTGAATATGCAGAAAGAAAGAGAGACCGTTGTCATTAAAGCAAGAAGAAGCAAAAGATTTCCACAGGTTGAAATTGCAGAAAATTGAATACTGAAGGAAAGGGGATAGAATTAGGAAGAAAACAGAAGTGGAGCATGGAGAAACAGAAGTAATGTAATTGTGAACTAAGGAAAAGAAAGGAAAGAAGTGGAAAGAAGAGAGGAGGCGTTAAAACCACATTTCCCAGTGGATCTCTTGGTGAGGCTATGCTGAGAAAACTGCCAAAACTCTTAACAGACACATTCCCGTACTGGCAAGCACATATGCATGGTTCACTTCTGCCAAGTCATATGAGATACACCAACACACTGGATGGAGAGATGTGGGAATATGGTGTGTATGAAGTGAAGGATTTACAGTAACATTCAGTGAGTGGTGGAAAGAGACAGAGCTTGGGAAGACACAGAGAGAGAGGTAGAGAAACACTGGCTTCTCTCCTCTGTGTCCTCTGGTGGGTTGGATCTTGTATAGGCCAAACCCTCCGACGCCAGCTTTGAGAATTGTATGCAGAGGGGTGGAGGGGACACAGGAAGAGGCTCAGGAAAGAAAACGGCTGGAAGGATTCCTTCTTCCCACACATAAATGCACTCTTGATCACATGTGCGTACACATGAACGTACAGTCACACATATACACAGCCAAAAAGAGCCTTTGGAAGGATTCCTTTTTCCCCACTCACTCTCACACACCCACTAGTCATCACGTTTCAGCTCTTGGCATCCTTCTTTCTCCTCAAAGCCCAGAATATGACATGGCTTTAGGGTTGCATCTCAACTGCATACACATAGTCAGCCTCACAGTACAAGACATATGGCAAAGAAAATCAAGCAGCATTTCAAACATTTGACAAATGAAGATAACCAAAGGACCACATGGTGATTTAGTTGGTGGTAACTCTTTGAGGTGCAGAGAATGCCTTTTTGTTTTTGAACTTGCCTCTTTTCATTGTTGATGTATAAATATCAGTTTTCAAGATGAATTTTCTTTGCCTCTTTGATAATCACTAGATTGTTAAAGAAAGGGAAACAGCTCACGCCTTTGTAACCAAGCCAAAACTAAGTCTCTCACCCTTTGCTGTTACAAGCCTTTCTGGTGTGCATTTGGAACAGTCAGATGGATATTTTGGTTGCTTGCACTGTGGTGTGGTAAGCCATTCCTGGGGTGTGTTTTTCACAAATATCCCCCTCTGTGACAGTCTTCATGGAGTCAAACAATCTAAAGGCTATAATCCTCTACTAAGGGTACGAGTGGATGGAAAAGTCCGAAAAATAAGTCCTTGTTTTTCACTCATAATCTGGCAAAGCCCATAAGTCCCTTCATGCCTCTATGCAGTGATATGATTATAAATGGCATCTATTACTACATGATTAGTAGATGTGAGTGGCTGGGTCAGTCAGTTTTCATTCTGTTGTTTTTCTTTTTTGTACATGAGTCTTTGTTGTGTGTACATCAGCGACTGACTTATATTATGGTACCATAATGTGTGCACGTTTAAAATCTCCATAATGTAGTTTTAAGGTGAGTATAAAGTGAGTTGAGGATAGGAAAGTAGTAGTTGTGGTTAATGTTAAAGAAAGTCATTATAATGTCCTCTGAATTCATGGGCTCGTGACAACCTCTGTGTGTGTGTGTGTGTGTGTGTGTGTGTGTGTGTGTGTGTGTGTGTGTGTGTGTGTGTGTGTGTGTGTGTGTGTGTGTGTGTGTGTGTGTGTGCATGAACAGTAAATTAAACAGATGCCAGTATTGCTTAGGCTTTCAATTCTCCATAGGGCTTATAAACAATACCAGTCCCCCAAATGTCTAATGTCGCTTCCAAAATGCCATCCCCGCACATGCAACAGACTGAGTACTAACACACACACACTCACCAAAAACTGAACATGATGCACAAGACAGCAAAAACTGTTGTGATAGCAAACTTCAAGAGCTGTTTAACAAACTGGAGTGAACAGATTTTTATGATGTTCTTCTTTGTAAGCGACAAGTTGGTCAGTCAGTTGATTGATCCTCCTCGTTTTGTTTAAATAAACCTAAGATATCCCAATAAATGTTGAATGGCTTATGATTTTGTTTGTGATTACATGTACAACTACAATTTTGTTGTACACATACAATGACAATAAAGGGCTATTCTATTCTATTTTATTATTTTTCTTTACATATCTTTGCTGGCTTTTTCTCTAGTCCCATCATAGCCTAGCTAAAATAATACAACTGGTCGATGGATTTAGACAAATTTTGGTGCAGATATTTATATCCATCTCAGGGTGAATGGTCAGATTTTTCCTCTGGTCCCATAATAATAATAATAATAATTCAGAAAATTTTCTAATGTGCACCTAAATTTGGTTCATAACTAAATACC